GGGAAGTGGGAGGGGCAGGGGCGGGGCTAGGGCGGGGCTCCTCCCGTCCTCTTTTTTGCTTGCTGAAATATGGTAACCCTACATGCTCCCCCTGCATCTCCGGGGCCTCCCTCCCACTCTTGTGGAGGGAGGAGGAAGGGGGGGGGAGTGTTGTTGTGGTTTTTTATTTTTTTTTGCTCTGACATTTTGGGTTTTTTTGCCCCGCCTGCCCCCGCCACGCGTCCCGATATTTGACCTGTGTGATCTGGTCACCCTAGAGGAAGATGCAGAACCTACGAACCCGGGCAGCAGCAGGGAGCAGAAGTCTGGAGCCTCTGGACTGCCTCAGCTGCTGGGAGGGGGATGGGAAGGGAGGGAGATGGGAAAGGGGAGAGGGGTGGAATTCTTGAGCCCACGCTGCCCTGGCTGCAGCTGGCAGGAGCGGAAGCCCCCAGGAGACGCAGGATGTGGAAGCCCGGGGAGCCGCGGTAGGAGCTTGGAGCAGCAGGAGGACAGGGCTGCAGGGCAGGGCAGAAGTCCCAATCGGCTGGGGTGGAACACAGTCAGTTCCCAGCCTAGTCGGAGCCTGGGCTGCCTCGGCCGTTGGGGAGGGTGCGTGGAATTCCTGAGTCCCATCTGGAGCAGGGGAGGAAGGATGGAAGCCCCGAGCCTGGGCTGCCCCAACCCCTTGCTGGAGCTGGGAGAGGCCCCGAGCCCAGGCTGCCCCGGCTGCTGCAGTGACTGAGAGCAGAAGTACCTCCTCATTGATTAGCCCCATCCATTGTGCGGCTGCTAAGGTTGCAAGCACCTTGTCTTACTACTTCCCCAATCCCCAGGTGGACTTTCCATCCCCTAGGGCTCCACATCTAGGTCCCCTGGGGCAGAAGCTCCCAGGAACAGGGGATAAATCAAGGCCTGTGTCTGCACAGCACTTTGCAGATGAAGCCAGCTAGCCACGAGCAAAAGGTTCTGCTTAACTTTGCAGATTTGAACTTTTGCCTCTGCAACTCCTTGCACTGAAACAAAGAACCATTTCCCATGTAAGCTGCAAGTTCAGCCTGGCTGGGCATTGTCCAGAGCCAGCCCTAAACACCCTCCCTGCTAGGGTTACCATACGTCCTCAAATCCCCGTCCGGGAGGAATTTCCAAAAAGCCGAATATGTCCGGGAAAATAGGGAGGCATGGTAAGGGGACCACCTCCTCCCCGGGCTCCAACTTTCCCGGCTCCCGCTGCTCTCCACTGTGGCGGGGGCCAAAGCAACTTCCCCGTGGGGGCCAGGCGGCGGCTGTTCGTTCTCCCCACCTGGGCAGCCGGACTCGGGAGCAGCCGCTGCTGCAGCTCCCACTGCCGCAGGGGGAGGAAGCGGCACAGGCGGGGCAGAGGGGGTAACAGTTACCCCAGTGGGACTGAGACCCCAGTGTTTGCAAAAATGGTGGGGGGCAAAGGGGCTTTTTTATTTCCCCTCTCACAGACAGCACCTTTCGGCATCGGCTTCCCAGGGCTGGGTTCTTAAAGGCACAGGGCTGGTTTCTTAAAGGCACAGGCCTCCCAATGTCTAGTCAAAGCAGCTCCTCTTTGTCTGATCTAACCTACTGAAACTATGTCTACACTACAAAGTTCAAAGCGCTGCTGTGGGTGCCAGTGCTCCTGGTAATTCACCTCGATGAGGGGATTAGCTCCAAGCACTGGGAGCCAAGCCTGTTCATACTAGCACTTTAAAGCGCTCAAACTTGCTGCGCTCGGGGGGAGAGGGGTGATTTTTTACATCCCTGAGTCAGCAAGTGAGAGCACTTTAACTTGCCAGTGTAGATAATCCCTGAGACTTAATTCAGTGAAACATTTTACACATATCCCCTCAGAAACAAAGAATCCCTTAAAAACAACAAGGAGTCTGGTGGCACCTTAAAGACTAACAGATTTATTTGGGCATAAGCTTTCGTGAGTA